GCTTATTTTGACTTCTTTGTGGAGGATGCAGTTATTTTCTGAAACCACCAGTACCTCGCCCACATATCGGCTGCGGGCCCCTCACCATGACTATCGGAGGCCCCAAACGCGACAACGGCCGCCGACGAAATTTATGAACGGCGACCCGGCCCCGAAAGTTGCGGCCATTAATGGGCCGCATATCTGAAAAGTAGCTGGGTAAGGTACGGGTGGTATAACTTCAACATTGCTCTGAACAGTTGGAAACAAATATAGGAAACAGTGCGAAACACAGCATGCTATAGACAATTGAGAGTTTGCTTTCATAAAGATGAATGACATCTCAAATTGTGCTTCCGTAGAAACCCGATATTTTTTGCATTTTTGCATCACCACGACATTGGACCATCAGATGGACCATCTAGAATTTTTCTCTCTTTTTCGGGACCCACATCTGTATTTGGATGACACTTTCCATTCAGGTACATCAGATGGTGTGGTGTTCCCATCAATGGTCCAACGCCATAGGAACACGAAATTGCTCAAAATATTGTTTTTTTTTTTGGAAGCCCAATTTCATTAAACTGAAAAAAAGAAAGTCGGTATTATCTTTTCTTTTTTTTTCCAGGGTGTTGTAGAGGTCTGTTTCTGGAGCCCTGACAGGTACCTATCGACAGTCAACGACTAATTTATGGGACGCAGACCATCCTATCTTGGTGGATCCCCCTCAGACAGCCCCTACTGCAGGTTTCCCGACGATTTCCTCCACCAGAGTCTGTCTACTAACACCCCTCCTACCGGGATCCCTTAAGACAATCCCCTACTGTAGGTTCCCCACCGATATCCTCCAGCCCAAACGGGACCCCATCCCACCAGCCCCCAAAGCAGAGCCTAAGGTAACCAACACACATGAGCAGTCTAACCACAAACCACTACCTGCATCCCCATAGACCGCTAATTGTACCAGGTCCGGATGCCACATATAACACCATGGATGATCCCTTGGGTGGTGCGCAGGCAGTGTCTGTAATAGCTTACCTGCATCAGCCCAAGGGGGTATGCAAGTGACCTTGCGTTATCTAAAGGCCCGCAGGTGTCTCTGTGCAGAGCCGCAGAGTTTTGAACCCACAACCTCAGACCACAAAGTGCATTGACAACCCGTTGCCCTAACCACTGAGCCACAGCCCACTTGCTGAATGCCTGTTTCTGATGGATGGTGAGTGAGTACAGACTGTACAGGCACAGGCCTTCCTTAGAACGCTTGTAAGGGCAGTAGCTGGGAGGAAGGACATGCACAAGCTGCAGGGAGTTAAGCGCAGCATCTATTTTCAGTCCACGTGCCAAGTTGGAGACCGATAGTGCAGGCTCAGACAAGTTGGTGAAGTCTGCGGCATCCTTAGCACGACTACTGCTGCTTCAATGCGTAAGTTCTTCAGGCACCCTGTTGTATTGGAGGACCCCAGAGTTTCATGGTTGCCTCTACAGTTACTGGTGGAGAACAACCGAGGTCAGCGTCCAACCACATACCCATCCATAAACAGCCATTTAGTTAAAACTGGCATTTTTTTACACTTCAATGAAATTGGACTTCCAAGAGAATTCCATTATTTTTAACATTTTTGCATCCCCACGACATCGGACTATTTATAATCTGGCGTCCTATCCAATGTACAAGGAATTGTTTTCATTGTTCTTGGACCCTCAGGTGTATGTTAATGGTAGTTTACGTCAAGGTGCATCATAGTATAGAGTCCCCAGAACACCAGATTATTTATTTTATTTTTTTTGGTCCTATGTCACGAGAACAACAAAAATGCTAAAATATTGTTTTTTTCTTTTGGAAGCCCAATCTCGTTAAAACTAAAAAAATGTCATGTATGAATTAAAAGAGCGCACTTTGCAAAACAAACAATAAAAAGAAAGATACACAAGACAAACATGAAGAGTGAAAACAGCATCTGGTGCAAGTTGGTGTTTTTGTAAAGTGGAGTGTGGGGAGGTGCTATCCGCTTTAAATCACCAGGAGGTGGGTGGGTTTGCGGGGTCTCTGTCAGCAGTTTGGGGCCTGTGGGCACAGACCCCTGCCGCGCGGGTGGTAGGGCGGATTGGCAGGGGTTGGTAATAACTCCGGATGAATGGTGGACTTGATCACGCAGCGCTGACCGCTCGTTTCTTTTTTGTGGTTTTGATTCGGCTTTCCTTGGTAGTTCCTTTTGCACATGATTTCTAAACGGTCAGTGGAATTTAGGTCACTAAATTAGGGTTGACATGACTATTGTGATTACAGTTTTTGGTGATGAACTTTAGATTTTGATGATAAATTTCGTTGATTTTTCAGTGGTAGGGGCTGTGGAGTTGGCTGCAGGGTGAAATCTAGTGGTACCCTCGATGTGCTTGGCCGGTGATGCTTTGCCCACCGAGGGGCCCACCTAATTTTGTGAGGGACTGGGCCCGGTTCCCAGCTTTAAAAAAAAAAAAAGAAAAAAAAAAAAGAAGAGCACACTGAGACCATTATTTCTTCTCCCCACCAATAAAATGGAGTCACCAGTGACACAGCTAGGGGTGGGTGCTCTTATCACCACTCCTACCCATATTTGCTGGTTATTTACTTAGGAAAACAAAAAGGAAACCATTTTTTTTTTCCCCATTCTTCTCTCAACTCCCCCTTTACCATGCCTCTGACATACAAGGCTGGGCAGATTGATGAAGTTGAGCGTAAGCTGCCACATCCCCGTGTGCCATAATGCCCCACTTGTATGTTGTGATAAAGAGGCAGAGTTAAGGGGGAGGGGAAACACACACACACACACACACACACACACACACAAGATAAAACAAGGACTGACAAAGGGAAAGTAAGGGAAAGTGAGGAGTGTGGAACAAAGATGAAGGCAAAGGAGAGGATAAGAAAAGGTTCAGGAATCAGTCTGTCCTTGACGATATAGAGGACATTCATAAGAAGGAAAGAGAGTGCACATAATGATTGTGCACAAGGCATAGGAATGTACACAAGGAATGTACATGTGAGGGGTGTACAACAGGAATGTACAAGGTTACAATACCAAGCTAACCTGAAAGGACGAATACCCAAGAAAAGTATATGTGACAACATCCCTTACAAAAAAGAGTGACGTGGCTGAGTTTACGATGAAACCAGACAAAAAGAGGTATATAACTCCTGGAAACGACATAGCACATTCGTCTATAGAAGCAAGTCAAGGAAAATGAACGACCAGAGAGCAAGCAATGCCGGTGCTCACCGCTCAATCTGCAAGAGCAGAGGGCTAGCGACACCGGAGAACACATTGGTCCATATCTATGAGCTAAAACAGCGCACTTTGCGAAAAAAATAAAATAAAATACACAAGACAGACATGAAGAGCACACTGAAACCATTCATTTTTCTCGTTCTTCTTTTAACTCTCTTTTTCACCGTGCCTCTCACGTATAAGGCTCACCACATCGATGAGTTGAGCGCGGGCTGCCCATATCCCCATGTGCCATAACGACCCTCTTGTACGCTGTGAGAAAGAGGCAGAGTCAGGAGGTAGGGGATAAACGCAGAGAAGAAAGATGGAGAGAAGAAATGTATATATGTATACTGTATACATATATATATATATATACAACTAAAAGATACAACGGTCCGCCCGTCACACGCAGCCGTGGGCCCAAGGAAAACTGCGGGACGGGCGGGGCCAGCCAGGCACGGAGTGCGCCGACACGAAAACCGGCGTCACACGCAGTCGCGGGCCCAAGGAAAACTGCCCACGGGGGGGGCCAGCCAGGCACGGCGCGCGCCGACACAAAACGGCGCAGGGGCAAAAAGGGCAGGGCCTGCCAGGGCGTAAGGTGCGCCGGGGGGAAAAAGGGTGGCGTCTCGTGAAACGGTGCAGGGGCAAAAAGGGCAGGGGCTGCCAGGGCGTACAGTGTCACGTGTGGCGTCAGGGGCAAAAAGGGCAGGGCCTGCCAGTGCGTACAGTGTCGCGTGTGGCGTTGATTGACAAAAACTCGCCGGGGGGAGGCGGGGAAGGGCGGCCTGGCAGCGCCAGCGGAAAAAAGTCCAATGGTAGGCGAGCGGGGAGCGTACCAGTGGGGTGTGCAGAACGGACGGGCGGGCAAGCCAGGAGAGGGAGAGAGAGAGAGAGAGAGAGAGAGAGAGAGAGAGAGAGAGAGAGAGAGAG